CTTATTTCAGTGCCGTAGATGGAGTCTAGTCCAGCAACAGTGCACTTATTTCAGTGCCGTAGATGGAGTCTAGTCCAGCAACAGTGCACTTATTTCAGTACCGTAGATGGAGTCTAGTCCAGCAACAGTGCACTTATTTCAATACCGTAGATGGAGTCTAGTCCAGCAACAGTGCACTTATTTCAGTACCGTAGATGGAGTCTAGTCCAGGAACAGGGCACTTATTTCAGTACCGTAGATGGAGTCTAGTCCAGCAACAGTGCACTTATTTCAGTGCTGTAGATGGAGTCTAGTCCAGCAACAGTACACTTATTTCAATACCGTAGATGGAGTCTAGTCCAGCAGCAGTGCACTTATTTCAGTACCGTAGATAGAGTCTAGTCCAGCAACAGTGCACTTATTTCAGTACCGTAGATGGAGTCTAGTCCAGCAACAGTGCACTTATTTCAGTACCGTAGATGGAGTCTAGTCCAGCAACAGTGCACTTATTTCAATACCATAGAAGGAGTCTAGTCCAGCAACAGTGCACTTATTTCAGTACCGTAGATGGAGTCTAGTCCAGCAATAGTGCACTTATTTCAGTGGCGTAGATGGTGTCTAGTCCAACAACAGTGCACTTATTTCAGTACTGTAGATGGAGTCTAGTCCAGCAACAGTGCACTTATTTCAATACCGTAGATGGAGTCTCTAGTCCAGCAACAGCGCACTTATTTCAGTACCGTAGATGGAGTCTAGTCCAGCAACAGTGCACTTATTTCAGTGCCATAGATGAAGTCTAGTCCAGCAACCGTGCACTTATTTCAATACCGTAGATGGAGTCTCTAGTCCAGCAACAGTGCACTTATTTCAGTACCGTAGATGGAGTCTAGTCCAGCAACAGTGCACTTATTTCAGTACCGTAGATGGAGTCTAGTCTAGCAACAGTGCACTTATTTCAATACTCTAGATGGAGTCTAGTCCAGCAACAGTGCACTTATTTCAGTACCGTAGATGGAGTCTAGTCCAGCAACAGTGCACTTATTTCAGTGCCGTAGATGGAGTCTAGTCCAGCAACAGTGCACTTATTTCAGTACCGTAGATGGAGTCTAGTCCAGCAACAGTGCACTTATTTCAATACTCTAGATGGAGTCTAGTCCAGCAACAGTGCACTTATTTCAGTACCGTAGATGGAGTCTAGTCCAGCAACAGTGCACTTATTTCAGTACCGTAGATGGAGTCTAGTCTAGCAACAGTACACTTATTTCAGTACCGTAGATGGAGTCTAGTCCAGCAACAGTGCACTTATTTCAATACCGTAGATGGAGTCTAGTCCAGCAACAGTGCACTTATTTCAGTACCGTAGATGGTGTCTAGTCCAGCAACAGTGCACTTATTTCAGTACCGTAGATGGAGTCTAGTCCAGCAACATTGCACTTATTTCAATACCGTAGATGGAGTCTCTAGTCCAGCAACAGTGCACTTATTTCAGTACCGTAGATGGAGTCTAGTCCAGCAGCAGTGCACTTATTTCAGTGCCGTAGATGGAGTCTAGTCCAGCAACAGTGCACTTATTTCAATACCGTAGATGGAGTCTAGTCCAGCAACAGTGCACTTATTTCAGTGCCGTAGATGGAGTCTAGTCCAGCAACAGTGCACTTATTTCAGTGCCGTAGATGGAGTCTAGTCCAGCAACAGTGCACTTATTTCAGTGCCGTAGATGGAGTCTAGTCCAGCAACAGTGCACTTATTTCAGTGCCGTAGATGGAGTCTAGTGCAGCAACAGTGCACTTATTTCAATACCGTAGATGGAGTCTCTAGTCCAGCAACAGTGCACTTATTTCAGTGCCCTAGATGGAGTCTAGTGCAGCAACAGTGCACTTATTTCAATACCGTAGATGGAGTCTAGTCCAGCAACAGTGGCTCCTCAACCTGGGCTGTCTGATCATTTCTGCATGTTTCCTGGTTCTCCATTCGCTTCCCCCTCCTGGTGTGCCCAGTGCATCGCCACATTCAATACAATATCAACAAAAATGGATACAACTGACTGTAGGCGCATTTCTCCTATTTTTACGCCTTTGTTGAATTCCTCCCATTTAATGTTCATAAATTTCCTTACGCTGTCTTCTCGAACATTCCTTGGTACCACGGTATACACTGACTTAGGTATATTCAACTTGGCATACTTTCTGTTTCCTGGTTTTTAGCCTCCCATGGTGGCCGATTTTCTCCCATTCTTCATACATGTTCAAGAAACCCTCGGTTTATGGCCTGGAAGAGTCTCAAGCTGCTGCTTTTCGTGTAGCCAGCTCAGTCCTAATGCCTCCTTTTCGGTTTAATACAACTCCAAGGTATTTGAACTAGTTAACCTGCTCCAATGCATACTGTCCCATCATGATCTGGTGTTTCTTCTCCTCTCTTGAGATCACCGTGGTTTTAGTTTTGGAGATACTGATGGTCATCCCTCTCTTCTCAAGCTCTTTCTTCCAGACAAGTAAGTTGGACTGAAGGTGTGCCTCTGATTTAGCTATCTGGGCCACATCGTCTGCAAATACCAGCTCTGATTTACATATTGTTCTAATCTTCCAGTACCCTACTGAGTACTGCTCGTCCAGTGGAGCCAACCTTTAATACAGATATGATGAATAAAACATAGGAGATACCATACAAGGGAGAATATGATGAACACAACATGAGAGACAACATTCAAGTGAGAATATGATGAACACAACATGGGAGACAACATACAAGTGAGAATATGATGAACACAACATGGGAGACAACATACAAGTGAGAATATGATGAACACAACATGGAAGACAACATACAAGTGAGAATATGATGAACACAACATGGAAGACAACATACAAGTGAGAATATGATGAACACAACATGGGAGACACCATACAAGTGAGAATATGATGAACACAACATGAGAGACCACATACAAGGGAGAATATGATGAACACAACATGAGAGACCACATACAAGGAAGAATATGATGAACACAACATGGGAGACCACATACAAGGGAGAATATGATGAACACAACATGAGAGACCACATACAAGGGAGAATATGATGAACACAACATGGGAGACCACATACAAGGGAGAATATGATGAACACAACATGAGAGACAACATACAAGGGAGAATATGATGAACACAACATGAGGGACAACATACAAGGGAGAATATGATGAACGCAACATGGGACATAACATACAAGGGAGAATATGATGAACTCAACATGGAAGACAACATACAAGGGAGAATATGATGAACACAACATGGGACACAACATACAAGGGAGAATATGATGAACTCAACATGGAAGACAACATACAAGGGAGAATATGATGAACTCAACATGGAAGACAACATACAAGGGAGAATATGATGAACACAACATGAGACACAACATACAAGGGAGAATATGATGAATACAACATGGAAGACAACATACAAGGGAGAATATGATGAATACAACATGGAAGACAACATACAAAGGAGAATATGATGAATACAACATAGGAGACAACATACAAGGGAGAATATGATAAATACAACATGGGAGACAACATACAAGGGAGAATATGATAAACACAACATGGGAGACACCATACAAGGGAGAGTATGATGAATTTAACTTACTCAACATGGAAGACAACATACAAGGGAGAATATGATGAACTCAACATGGAAGACAACATACAAGGGAGAATATGATGAACACAACATGAGACACAACATACAAGGGAGAATATGATGAATACAACATGGAAGACAACATACAAGGGAGAATATGATGAATACAACATGGAAGACAACATACAAAGGAGAATATGATGAATACAACATAGGAGACAACATACAAGGGAGAATATGATGAATACAACATGGGAGACAACATACAAGGGAGAATATGATAAACACAACATGGGAGACACCATACAAGGGAGAGTATGATGAATTTAACATGGGAGACAACACACAAGTGAGAATATAATGTATACAACATGGGAGACAACACACAAGTGAGAATATAATGAATTCAACATGGGAGACAACACACAAGTGAGAATATAATGAATTCAACATGGGAGACAACACACAAGTGAGAATATAATGAATTCAACATGGGAGACAACACACAAGTGAGAATATGATGTATTCAACATGGGAGACAACACACAAGTGAGAATATAATGAATACAAAATGAGAGACAACATACAAAAGAAAATAAAATGAACACAACATGGGAGACAACACACAAGTGAGAATATAATGAATTCAACATGGGAGACAACATACAAGTGAGAATATGATGTATTCAACATGGGAGACAACACACAAGTGAGAATATAATGTATTCAACATGAGAGACAACACACAAGTGAGAATATAATGTTTTCAACATGGGAGACAACACACAAGTGAGAATATGATGTATTCAACATGGGAGACAACATACAAGTGAGAGTATAATGTATTCAACATGGGAGACAACACACAAGTGAGAATATGATGTATTCAACATGGGAGACAACATACAAAGGAGAATATGATGAATACAACATAGAAGACATCATACAAGTAAGTATATGATGAATACAAAATGAGAGACAACATACAAAAGAAAATATGATGAACACAACATGGGAGACCACATACAAGGGAGAATATGATGAACATAACATGGGAGACAACATACAAAGGAGAATTTGATGAACACAACATAGGACAATATACAAGGGAGAATATGATGACTAAAACATGGGAGACAACATACAAGGGACAATACAATGTAATGGCTCCTTCCAAATACTTTGATTTATTGAGACTAAAAATGGTTTCAAACACTAAACTGGCAGAACAACTGATGTACAGGTTATCAAGCAAAAACACAAAACACTTCAGGCCAATATCTTAAAATAATTATATTTACTGGCAGGCCAACAGAAAACACACAGCTGACTTCGAGGGTACACAACTCACAGATATACATGTAGACATCTCTCTCACTGGGGCACAAGCCACAGCTCTGTATCCTCGGCCATTTGTATACAACATGAATAGTCGAGCACATGGTCCACCATGTTGCGTAGATGTCGCTGGACATGTCGGTGGCTGCGACCCGTGTCCTGGAACTTGATGACCGACGTCAGCTTCTTGCACAGGTAGTTTACCCACAGGATGTTAGAGTGGGGGCAGAACTTTTGCCAGTCATTGCTGCAAGACAGGAGGACACACACCATCAGACCATACAACACAAACAGGGAATGTTACAGGCATGGAGAGTTACAGGCATGGAGAGTTACAGGCATGGAGAGTTACAGGCATGGAGAGTTACAGGCATGGAGAGTTACAGGCATGGAGAGTTACAGGCATGGAGAGTTACAGGCATGGAGAGTTACAGGCATGGAGAGTTACAGGCATGGAGAGTTACAGGCATGGAGAGTTACAGGCATGGAGAGTTACAGGCATGGAGAGATACAGGCATGGAGAGTTACAGGCATGGAGAGTTACAAGTATGGAGAGTTACAAGTATGGAGAGTTACAGGCATGGAGAGTTACAGGCATGGAGAGTTACAGGTATGGAGAGTTTAGAGTACAGGCAGGCATGGAGAGTTACAGGCATGGAGAGTTACAGGCATGGAGAGTTACAATGGAGAGTACAGGCATGGAGAGTTACAGGCATGGAGAGTTACAGGCATGGAGAGTTACAGGCATGGAGAGTTTACAGGCATGGAGAGTTACAGGCATGGAGAGTTACAGGCATGGAGAGATACAGGCATGGAGAGTTACAGGCATGGAGAGTTACAGGCATGGAGAGTTACAGGCATGGAGAGTTACAGGCATGGAGAGTTACAGGAGAGTGGCATGAGAGTTACAGGCATGAGAGTTACAGGCATGGAGAGTTACAGGCATGGAGAGTGGAGATGTTACAGGCATGGAGAGAGTTACAGGCATGGAGAGTTACAGGCATGGAGAGTTACAGGCATGGAGAGTTACAGGCATGGAGAGTTACAGGCATGGAGAGTTACAGGCATGGAGAGTTACAAGTATGGAGAGTTACAGGCATGGAGAGTTACAGGTATGGAGAGTTACAGGCATGGAGAGTTACAAGTATGGAGAGTTACAGGCATGGAGAGTTACAGGCATGGAGAGTTACAAGTATGGAGAGTTACAGGCATGGAGAGTTACAGGCATGGAGAGTTACAAGTATGGAGAGTTACAGGCATGGAGAGTTACAAGTATGGAGAGTTACAGGCATGGAGAGTTACAGGCATGGAGAGTTACAGGCATGGAGAGTTACAGGTATGGAGAGTTACAGGCATGGAGAGTTACAGGCATGGAGAGTTACAGGCATGGAGAGTTACAGGCATGGAGAGTTACAGGCATGGAGAGTTACAGGTATGGGAGAGTTACAGGCATGGAGAGTTACAGGCATGCATTACAGGGAGAGTTACAGGTATGGAGAGTTACAGGCATGGAGAGTTACAATTATGGAGAGTTACAGGCATGGAGAGTTACAGGCATGGAGAGTTACAGGCATGGAGAGTTACAGGCATGGAGAGTTACAGGCATGGAGAGTTACAGGCATGGAGAGTTACAGGTATGGAGAGTTACAGGTATGGAGAGTTACAGGTATGGAGAGTTACAAGTATGGAGAGTTACAGGCATGGAGAGTTACAGGCATGGAGAGTTACAGGCATGGAGAGTTACAGGCATGGAGAGTTACAGGCATGGAGAGTTACAGGCATGGAGAGTTACAGGCATGGAGAGTTACAGGCATGGAGAGTTACAGGCATGGAGAGTTACAGGCATGGAGAGTTACAGGCATGGAGAGTTACAGGCATGGAGAGTTACAGGCATGGAGAGTTACAGGCATGGAGAGTTACAGGCATGGAGAGTTACAGGCATGGAGAGTTACAAGTATGGAGAGATACAGGCATGGAGAGTTACAGGCATGGAGAGTTACAGGCATGGAGAGTTACAGGCATGGAGAGTTACAGGCATTACAGGGAGAGTTACAGGCATGGAGTTAGGCATTACAGTTACATGGAGAGTTACAGGCATGGAGAGTTACAAGTATGGAGAGATTACAGGCATGGAGAGTTACAGGTATGGAGAGTTACAGGCATGGAGACAGGTATGGAGAGTTACAAGGCATGGAGAGTTACAAGTATGGAGAGATACAGGCATGGAGAGTTACAAGTATGGAGAGATACAGGCATGGAGAGTTACAAGTATGGAGAGATACAGGCATGGAGAGTTACAAGTATGGAGAGATACAGGCATGGAGAGTTACAAGTATGGAGAGATACAGGCATGGAGAGTTACAAGTATGGAGAGTACAGATGGACAGGCATGGCAGAGTTACAAGTATGGAGAGATACAGGCATGCAGAGTTACAGGTATGGAGAGATACAGGCATGCAGAGTTACAAGTATGGAGAGATACAGGCATGCAGAGTTACAAGTATGGAGAGATACAAGTATGGAGAGATACAGGCATGGAGAGTTATGTATGGAGAGATACAGGCATGGAGAGTTATGTATGGAGAGATACAGGCATTGAAAGTTATGTATGGAGAGATACAGGCATGGAGAGTTATGTATGGAGAGATACAGGCATGGAAAGTTATGTATGGAGAGATACAGGCATGGAAAGTTATGTATGGAGAGATACAGGTATGGAGATACAGGTATGGAGAGATACAAGTTCAAGTTTCAGGAAGGAAAAGTTACAGGCAGTGAGAGGTATGGAAAATTACAGGCAGAGAATATTACAGGTGTGGAAAGATACAGGCAGGAATTATAGGTGTGAAAAGTAACATGCAGTGAGTATTACAGATGTGGAAACAGGCAAGAGAGAATTATGGATGTGAAAAGTTACAGGCAGAGAGAATTACATGTGTGAAAAGTTATAGGAGTGGACAGACAGAAGGAATAGAAGAGAAAGAGTTTATACTGACCCATTCTCTTTTCGCATGTCCCTGTACACATCAAACTGGAAGTCGCTCTTCCCTTCAAACAAGCCTTCATCAGTAGAAACATCACAGAACACAGCACAGCCATCTGTAATATCATCGACACATGTACAACATCACCATAATGTCAGTTTCAGAGACAACATATTGACAGATGTAGACAAAGAGTGATGCACGTCTGACCTCAGACTGTCTGCCTAAAGCTCTACATATGATAGTCTACTGCTCCACATATGACAGCCTACAGCTCCACATATGACAGATAGCTGCCGACAGCTCCACATATGACAGCCTACAGCTCCACATATGACAGATAGCTGCCGACAGCACATATGACAGATGTCTGCCTACAGCTTCACATATAACGGATGTCTGCCTACAGCTTCACATATGACAGATGTCTGCCTACAGCTCCACATAAGACAGATGTCTGCCTACAGCTCCACATATGACAGATGTCTGCCTACAGCTCCACATATGACATATGTCTGCCTACAGCTCCACATATGACAGATGTCTGCCTACAGCTCCACATAAGACAGATGTCTGCCTACAGCTCCACAGATGCAGATGTCAGCCTACAGCTCCACATATGACAGATGTCTGCCTACAGCTCCACATATGACACATGTCTGCCTACAGCTCCACAGATGCAGATGTCTGCCTACAGCTCCACATATGACAGATGTCTGCCTACAGCTCCACATATGACAGATGTCTGCCTACAGCTCCACATATGACAGATGTCTGCCTACAGCTCCACATAAGACAGATGTCTGCCTACAGCTCCACATAAGACAGATGTCTGCCTACAGCTCCACAGATGCAGATGTCAGCCTACAGCTCCACATATGACAGATGTCTGCCTACAGCTCCACATATGACACATGTCTGCCTACAGCTCCACAGATGCAGATGTCTGCCTACAGCTCCACATATGACAGATGTCTGCCTACAGCTCCACATATGACAGATGTCTGCCTACAGCTCCACATATGACAGATGTCTGCCTACAGCTCCACATAAGACAGATGTCTGCCTACAGCTCCACAGATGCAGATGTCAGCCTACAGCTCCACATATGACAGATGTCTGCCTACAGCTTCACATATGACAGATGTCTGCCTATAGCTCCACATATGACAGATGTCTGCCTACAGCTCCACATATCACAGATGTCAGCCTACAGCTCCACATATTACAGATGTCTGCCTACAGCTCCACATATGACAGATGTCTGCCTACAGCTTCACATATGAAAGATGTCTGCCTACAGCTCCACATATGACAGATGTCTGCCTACAGCTCCCCATATGTCAGATGTCTGCCTACAGCTCCACATATGACAGATGTCTGCCTACAGCTCAACATATGACAGATGTCTGCCTACAGCTCCACATATGACAGATGTCTGCCTATAGCTTCACATATGACAGATGTCTGCCTACAGCTCCACATATGACAGATGTCTGCCTACAGCTCGACATATGACAAGTCTTGACTACAGCTTCACATATGACAGATGTCTGTCTACAGCTCCACATAAGACAGACGTCTGCCTACAACTTGACATATGACAGATGTCTGCCTACAGCTCCACATATGACAGATGTCTGCCTACAGCTTCACATATGACAGATGTCTGCCTATAGCTTCACATATGACAGATGTCTGCCTACAGCTCCACATATGTCAGATGTCTGCCTACAGCTCGACATATGACAGAAGTCTTGACTACAGCTTCACATGTGACAGATGTCTGCCTACAGCTCCACATAAGACAGATGTCTGCCTACAGCTTGACATATGACAGATGTCTGCCTACAGCTCCACATATGAAAGTTGTCTGCCTACAGCTCCACATATGACAGACTCATTACCATGCAGAACACTATGGGGAAGCTTCTGTCAGGTTACCATCCAAACTTGGGGGATACAGACGAAACAAAGAGACATGACTCAATGCGGCAGTATTTGCCTGTGTAGTCTGTGAAGGTTTTCAGATGAGAGAAGAGACATGTGCAGCTGCAATAGACATAGAGGATGCGTACAACGGAGTACCATTTGAATACTTGGTGCACATACATCTCCAACTGCAAGTTATCTTCCTTCATCTCCCACTGGGTAGCCGCAGCACTGTTTCAGTTTCAGAGACGGGTGATACCCAGGTGTGATTGTTGGTCCTCAGAACCGATAACCATCAGTTTAGGATTGCTTCAAAGTTCTCAGCTGTCATCAGTTCTATTTAACATGTACACAATGCTGATAACTGAGCAGCAGTTGTACGGGAGTGGCAGGACTTTGTCATTTGCTGATGACGTCTTGGTATACCGACATGGAAGAGATCGTCAAGAGATTGCCAATTCAATGCAGAGTGAACTTGATCGCATCTCCTCCTCGTGTGCAGATTCTAATGCTCATGTCAACCCTTCGAAGGCCTCAGTAACGTGGTTCTCCTTGAACACGCATATATAGTGAAGACAGACTTACCAGCAGTGGAAAGTAGCGAGGAAATTTTGACGAGAATAAATCTGATGACATACCTTGGAGTGAGGTTTGATGGCAGCCTATCCTTCAGAGAACATGTTGACCATGTTTTAACAAAAGCACGCAAAGGCCTGTCAGCAATGAGGGTTGTGAGCAGACTGCTTCTGTTTACATTCCAGGGACTTCTACTTTCTCCCATCGAATATTCTCTTGCCATCCTCACTGTCAGCGATTCTCAGACTGAAAGACTTGAGAAGGTGCAAAATGAAGCAATGCACATTTTTTGGAGTGCACTGGAGACACCTTATGTGTAGGAATGGGGTACCTTCTTGACTTTCCTACCACAAAGGACTACAGGATCAAGATCTAGAGGGCTCGTGCATACCTCAAGATAGGCTCAGATCTGAAGCACCCTTTACCACATGCTCTCCAAAAAAAAGGGCAATAGGCTTAAAAGGGGCATATCATGGCTGGGTAGGGCAGAGGAAGACATCATGTAGGTTTGCAGGACTAAATACATCCATCCAGGTGAGGAATGGATACCAGATCCTAAAGCGCCCAATCTCACATTCTCCTGTGTCATGATGCTCGATAGGAGTTGTCGGGAGCAGAATCCAGCTGCTGTCAATCCGAGGTATGCGTGCTTATCAGTGACAAGTCAGATGAGACAGATGTGCTGATCCTCACAGACGGGTCCGTTATATGAGATTTAAGAGTGCATGGGCATTTACACATTACTCTTCAGGCAGAAGAGTTCAAGAAGCCAACGGTGCCTTTTCCATGACTCCCAGCAGCATGACGATGGAGGTGATGGCGGTGACACAGGCTTTCATGTGGTTAGAATCACAGGACTATTCCCGAGGTGTGTGTGCTGAGTGATATTTTTAGTATGATCCGGCGGGTCGAGGCAGGCTGGTTACACTGACAGTGGTTTGAGTCATTGCAAAACTCTCCTGTGTGTGCAGTTACCTTCATATTCATTCCAGGGCATACAAGCCTTGTCGCTAATGAAAGAGCTGATAGACTGGCATTAAATGAAGATGGCCGGCCCACGGATCACGCAGACATTGTCATTGCCATTAGAGAGATAGGATGTATTAAGGAAATTGGAAGCAACGTGTCCACATCACTGCTAAGAATGCGAGAATTGGGAGTGAAGATCGGCACAGTCAAGCATGAGAAGCACACCGGACACACACAAAGTCTTGTTATCTGGAAAATTAGCAAGACAGTGCGGCAAAAGCCAACATCCAGCATGGCGCCCCCTGTTAGGTCTCACACTCTGGCGAGTGGGGCTAATGGTAACAGGCATGTGAGCCATTTTGCCAGTTTGTGGGACTTTTTTGGGTCAGACATTCAGGACACTAACAGTTTGTTGTGGTGTACCCTAACGCGGTGTCGATGACGTTGAGGAACAGTAAGGAATGTTTGGATGTTCTGTGAGTTACAGCTTGCAAGAGTTATTCCTCATCTAGGCTCCAAGCAAATCTCTTATTTCTGGGCTGAATCTTAGCAATACAGTAGTTCTTCCCACTCAACAGATTTTAAACCCAGTGTTGCTAAATGAGGGGTGGCATATGAGCATACAGTCCAAGTGTCTAAATCCTGATTCTCGACCGAACTCTGCAACAGTCACACAGTCCAGGAAAACTCAACAAATAGTCCACCGTCAAAAGTTTAATCACAAAACGTTCGGGTCTACAAAACCAGAACACAACATATGAAATGCGAATAACCTTAACATATGTCTAAATGCTGGCTACAGGGATTAACCTCTTAAGTTCTGCATTCTCCAAAACAGTTCCAGCGGCACTCTCTAATACATCTTAGACTCGCTGTCAATAAGAACTCTTGAGCTCACCACTTCAGTGCCTCTGTCGCTGGCTACCCCTCACTCCAGTGCCTCAGTCGATGGCTACCCCTCACTTCAGTGCCTCGGTCGCAGGCTACCCCTCACTCCAGTGCCTCGGTCGCTGGCTACCCCTCACTTCAGTGCCTCGGTCGCTGGCTACCCCTCACTCCAGTGCCTCGGTCGCTGGCTACCCCTCACTTCAGTGCCTCGGTCGCTGGCTACCCTTCACTTCAGTGCCTCGGTCACTGGCTACCCCTCACTTCAGTGCCTCGGTCGCTGGCTACCCCTTACTTCAGTGCCTTAGTCGCTGGCTACCCCTTACTTCAGGGCTAGCACTAAGAATGAACAAGATCCATCTAACTCACTCAGCTTGACCTCCGTTGCTATTCTCAGTAACAGGCACTTTCACAATGACTGACTGGGAACATCTACAATACTTCAGTTCCACAAAATGCACACAGCAAATCAGCCACGTCGAGGAATTCTACAATGACCGGTTGAACTTCCCAAATCTGAGTTCCATTCAGCACACAGCCGATAGCCAATATCTACAAGGGTCACTCCTCGTAAGAAGAATCAGTTGTTTTGTTTCTGTAGTGAAAGCCAACACCCGTCATCATTCAAGACAATCTCCTCACAACTGAGCACACAGCTCTCTCTACTCGATGCTGGCCTCAACTGTTTTCCTGCCCTTTGGGCCCCTGTTTACGCACGTGTGAATTCTCCGTGCTACTCAAGACACCCACACTTATTCACATATTGTTTCATCATCCCATCATACCTTTATGCCTCCGCCCTGATCCCCATGAACTTGGTATACCTACCCAGGCCAGTCGACACCTAGTGAATCCATTAGTCAACTTCTGTCCACAGTCAACATATAACCTCAGCCCTGCTCCCCATGAACTTGGTATACCTACCCAGGCCAGTCGACACCTAGTGAATCCATTAGTCAACTTCTGTCCACAGTCAAAGTCAAAATATAACCTCAGCCACGTCAACACCTTGTGGACCCCCCACCCCACAGTCAACAAGCCTGTACTAGAACAAACATAATAATGTTGAAACACGACTCGACACACAGCACTGAGAGTTATCGGATGTTACCCAAGTTCCAAGAAAAAATTTTGATAGACATTCCTCACCCATGCATTGGGAGTGAGCTGATGTAAGCCAGGTGTGACACTACATCTCTAGAGGCCACAAACTCTGAGATCTCCTGTCAACTCGGTTCAGGTCACAAAGGTGAGCCCTTAACCATGGAGGTGATGGCGGTGACACAAGCTTTGCTGTGGCTAGAATCACAGGAGTATTCCCGTGTGTGTGCTTAGTGTGTGTGCTGAATGTGTGTGTGCTGAGTGTGTGTGTGCTGAGTGATTCTTTGGGCATGATCTGGCGGGTCAAGGCTGGCTGGTTACGCAGACAGTGGTTTGAGTCATTGCAAAACTCTCCTGTGTGTGCAGTTACCTTCATATTCATCCCAGGGCATACAAGCCTTGTCGCTAATGAAAGAGCTGATAGACTGGCAGGTGCTGCATTAAATGTAGATGGCCAGCCCACGGATCACGCAGACATTGTCATTGCCCTTAGAGAGATAGGATGTATTAAGGAAATTGGAAGCAACGTGTCCACATCACTGCTAAGAATATGAGAATTGGGAGTAAAGATCGGCACAGTCAAGCATGAGAGGCACACTAGACACACATGAAGTCTTGTTAACCTTTAACGTTGTTTTATCTGGAAACTTAGCAAGAGGATCCGCAAAACCATCCAAGAGCCCGCTGGAAGTACTGAGTAACTCCTTATACACCTCACAACGGCCTTAACTGTCTCTCACGCCTGTGATCAATATCTCTGAGCCACAGCTTGAAATATAACATGCAACTGTCACTTGAAGAATGAATGCAAGGAAGGACCAAACTTAAGACAGGTATACCTAATCTGTAACGCTTGGGAAATAAAGTGTGTTTGTTCCTCCGTACAAAGTGCACAATGTTTCCACCATTTTACCTTAACAGATAGATTGGTTGAGTACTGCAGACATTTGATTTGTGTCGATGTGAATGGCATCAAGTTTCTTCATTTGTTGACAGGCTACAAAAAAACATCAAGCTCAAGATAAAGCCACACAAAACAACCATCAAACAGCCATCACACAGCCACACAAACAAGCACCACACAAGAAGTCAAACCTTTCTGTAGACGAGAGATGGTGAAGTCAATGATGGTGGCCTTGACCCCCGCAGTGGGAAACTGATACTCTCGGCCCTGCAGCAGAAATGAAACGATGTCCTCCTGGCACGGCCTCACAAGCACATTACCAATGTGAAGGTCACGATGCTCAAACTCAAGGTGGCTTTCGGCCACAGCCAGGGCAAATACCACTTGCTGCAGTGCACTCAGGGCTTCTGTGTGGTTGACAAACTGGCCAGATGATTACCACAAAAACGATTACAATAATCAATTAATACCAATCAATTTTCTATGTAATTTTTTAAAGACTGGTTGCCAGCTAGACAACTATGCGGGATTCTATTTAGCTGGGATGGTGCCACATAATTCTCAAATTGTCTAGCCCAGATTCAAACTCACAGCGTCTGGTGAGTCAAGACCCACATCTGCTGCAAGCCGGCACCAACACTTGGCTTGTGTAGTCTAGCATGCCACACAAATTATGTCCTTGACATTCCTCTACTGTTCATGACACAACAGTCAGTCTGTGATTGGTTCATGACACAACAGTCAGTCTGTGACTAGTTCATGACACAAGTCAGTCTGTGATTGGTTCATGACACAACAGTCAGTCTGTGATTGGTTCATGACACAACAGTCAGTCTGTGATTGGTTCATGACACAACAGTCAGTCTGTGATTGGTTCATGACACAACAGTCAGTCTGTGATTGGTTCATGACACAACAGTCAGTCTGTGATTGGTTCATGACACAAGTCAGTCTGTGATTGGTTCATGACACAAAAGTCAGCCTGTGATTGGTTCATGACACAACAGTCAGTCTGTGATTAGTTCATAACACAAGTCAGTCTGGGATTGGTTCATGACACAAGTCAGTCTGTGATTGGTTCATGACACAAGTCTGTGATTGGTACATGACACAAGTCTGTGATTGGTACATGACACAAGTCAGTCTGTGATTACTTCATGACACAAAAGTCAGTCTGTGGTTACTACATGACACAACAGTCAGTCTGTGATTACTGCATGACACATGTCAGTCAGTCTGTGATTACTGCATGACCCAACAGTCAGTCTGTGATTACTGCATGACACATGTCAGTCTGTGATTATTGCATAACACAACAGTCAGTCTTTGATTACTGCATGACACAACAGTCAGTCTGTGATTACTGCATGACACATGTCAGTCTGTGGTTACTGCATGACACAACAGTCAGTCTGTGATTACTGCATGACACATGTCAGTCTGTGGTTACTGCATGACACAACAGTCAGTCTGTGATTACTGCATGACACAACAGTCAGTCTGTGGTTACTGCATGACACATGTCAGTCTGTGGTTACTGCATGACACAACAGTCAGTCTGTGATTACTGCATGACACATGTCAGTCTGTGGTTACTGCATGACACAACAGTCAGTCTGTGATTACAACATGACACAACAGTCAGTCTGTGATTGCAACATGACACAACAGTCAGTCTGTGATTACTTCATGACACATGTCAGTCTGTGATTACTGCATGACACAACAGTCAGTCTGTGATTACAACATGACACAACAGTCAGTCTGTGGTTACTGCATGACACAACAGTCAGTCTGTGATTGCTGCATGACACAACAGTCAGTCTGTGATTACTTCATGACACAAGTCAGTCTGTGTCTTGTTAATAACACACGTTAGTCTGTGATTGGTTCATGACAAGTCAGTCTGTGAATTAGTTCATGACACAAGTCAGTCTGTGATTGGTTCATGACAAGTCAGTCTGTGATTGGTTCATGACACAAGTCAGTCTGTTATTGGTTCATGACAAGTAAGTCTGTGAATTAGTTCATGACAAGTCAGTCTGTGGTTGGTTCACGACAAGTCAGTCTGTGATTGGTTCATGACAATTCAGTCTGTGATTGGTTCATGACAAGTCAGTATGTATTGGTTCATGACAAGTCAGTCTGTGATTGGTTCATGACAAGTCAGTCTGTGATTGGTTCATGACAATTCAGTTTGTGATTGGTACATGACAAGTCAGTCTGTAATTACTTCATGACAGAAGTCAGTTTGTAACTGGTTTATGCCACAAGTCCGTCTGTGATTGGTTCAGCCTGAGTATGGTCTTGCTCACTGCAATCAGGTGAATAGTCCACCAGCTCTGTGCCTGTGCACGCATGCTCCTTCTCTGGGTGCCTAACAGCTAAGATTGGAATTTTGCTTAAATGTCAAATTACAACTTAATCATTTCAAATGAAATGTCAGCAACGTTTTTAAAATTAACAAAAATATGTCAAATTAAAACTTTTTTAAAATGTAACTGAAATGCCAGACGACCGCTCTTATTTCAACAGGCTAAATTAGAGGAGACAGAGCTGGACAGATCTGCACGTGATGATGATATTAACAGGTCTGGCTCACCTTATAGTTCTCCAAGGGACATCCCCCATCCAAAAACTCAAACACAACAAACAACTGGTCCTCTCCAAAAATATCTGTAACAACAATGGACAAGTATGGATGACATGGATGGTCTCTGTGACATCTGGTCAGTTCCACCACATAGTTATTACATAGTATGACATCATGTCAAACACATTTAGAGGCTGCCTCCAGTCAGATGTTCCTGTATACACTTGAAGATGCAGATGTGAAGGCATAGTGTTCTGAGGTGAGGGTATCAGTTATCTTCTGATCACATGTTCACAGCAAGATTAACTGTGCTGACCTCAGCAATCACAACATCCAGCAATGTGTACAGTGCAGATTAGGTGGCTACATGGCTACCCACAGCCAGTGTCATGATGTGAAGTGGCTACATGTCTACCTGTAGCCACAGTGTCATGATGTGAAGTGGCTACATGTCTACCTGTAGCCACAGTGTCATGATGTGAAGTGGCTACATGTCTACCTGTAGCCTGTGTCATGATGTGAAGTGGCTACATGTCTACCTGTAGCCACAGTGTCATGATGTGAAGTGGCTACATGTCTACCTGTAGCCTGTGTCATGATGTGAAGTGGCTACATGTCTACCTGTAGCCACAGTGTCATGATGAGAAGTGGCTACATGTCTACCTGTAGCCACAGTGTCATGATGTGAAGTGGCTACATGTCTACCTGTAGCCTGTGTCATGATGTGAAGTGGCTACATGTCTACCTGTAGCCACAGTGTCATGATGAGAAGTGGCTACATGTCTACCTGTAGCCACAGTGTCATGATGTGAAGTGGCTACATGTCTACCTGTAGCCACAGTGTCATGATGTGAAGTGGCTACATGTCTACCTGTAGCCTGTGTCATGATGTGAGGTGGCTACAAGATATTATGGCCAGTAGCATGTGACTGTCATTCAGAGTTCAGGGGTTTCTGGAGCTAATCTCACAAACTCTGACATTCACCAAACTCAAATCTCACAGACCTGACATTCATCAAACTCATATCTCACAAACTCTGACATTCATCAAACTCATATCTCACAAACCCTGTCATTCCCCGAACTCCTCATGTCATCAACACTGGAGCACACATTCATCAGTCCAGTGTAGAAGTCCTGGTGATCTAATTGTCGACACAGGCATAGTCATTACTGGCTGATCTAACCTTCGACACAGGTGTAGTCATTACTGGGTGATCTAACAGTCAACACAGGCATAGTCATTACTGGGTGATCTAACAGTCAACACAGGTGTAGTCAACACTGGGTGATCTAACAGTCAACACAGGCATAGTCATTACTGGGTGATCTAACTGTCGACAGAGGCGTAGTCATCACTGGGTGATCTAACAGTCAACACAGGTGTAGTCTTTACTGGCTGATCTAACTGTCAACACAGGCGTAGTCATTACTGGGTGATCTAACTGTCAACACAGGTGTAGTCATCACTGGGTGATCCAACTGTCGACACAGGTGTAGTCATCACTGGGTGATCTAACTGTCAACACAGGCGTAGTCATCACTGGGTGATCTAACAGTCAACACAGGTGTAGTCATTACTGTGTGATCTAACAGTCAACACAGGCGTAGTCATTACTGTGTGATCTAACAGTCAACACAGGTGTAGTCATTACTGTGTGATCTAACAGGCAACACAGGTGTAGTCATCACTGGGTGATCTAACTGTCGACACAGGCGTAGTCATCACTGGGTATTCTAACTGTCAACACAGGCGTAGTCATTACTGGCTGATCTAACTGTCAACACAGGTGTAGTCATCACTGGGTGATCTAACAGTCAACACAGGTGTAGTCTTTACTGGCTGATCTAACTGTCAACACAGGTGTAGTCATTACTGTGTGATCTAACTGTCGACACAGGTGTAGTCATTACTGTGTGATCTAACTGTCGACACAGGTGTAGTCATCACTGAGTGATCTAACAGTCAACACAGGTGTAGTCTTTACTGGCTGATCTAACTGTCAACACAGGTGTAGTCATTACTGTGTGATCTAACTGTCGACACAGGTGTAGTCATTACTGTGTGATCTAACTGTCGACACAGGTGTAGTCATTACTGTGTGATCTAACAGTCAACACAGGTGTAGTCATTACTGGGTGATCTAACTGTCAACACAGGCGTAGTCATTACTGGGTGATCTAACTGTCAACACAGGTGTAGTCATCACTGGGTGATCCAACTGTCGACACAGGTGTAGTCATCACTGGGTGATCTAACTGTCAACACAGGCGTAGTCATCACTGGGTGATCTAACAGTCAACACAGGTGTAGTCATTACTGTGTGATCTAACTGTCAACACAGGTGTAGTCATCACTGGGTGATCTAACAGTCAACACAGGTGTAGTCATTACTGTGTGATCTAACAGTCAACACAGGCGTAGTCATTACTGTGTGATCTAACAGTCAACACAGGTGTAGTCATTACTGTGTGATCTAACAGTCTACACAGGTGTAGTCATCACTGGGTGATCTAACAGTCAACACAGGTGTAGTCATCACTGAGTGATCTAACAGTCAACACAGGTGTAGTCATTACTGTGTGATCTAACTGTCGACACAGGCGTAGTCATCACTGTCTAACTGTCAACACAGGCGTAGTCTTTACTGTGTGATCTAACAGTCAACACAGGTGTAGTCATTACTGTGTGATTTAACTGTCGACACAGTTGTAGTCATTACTGTGTGATCTAACTGTCGACACAGGTGTAGTCATTACTGTGTGATCTAACAGTCAACACAGGTGTAGTCATCACTGGGTGATCTAACTGTCAACTCAGGCGTAGTCATTACTGTGTGATCCAACAGTCAACACAGGCGTAGTCATTACTGTGTGATCTAACAGTCAACACAGGTGTAGTCTTTACCGGGTGATTATAGCAACTGCCTGCAGTCATCTCCCTCTAATCAATACTTGTTTCTCCCTCTATAACTCTGCTCTTCAATGATGTCATCTCCCTCTAATCAATACTTGGATCTCCCTCCATAACTCTGCTCTTCAATGATGTCATCTCCCTCTAATCAATACTTGGTTCTCCCTCCATAACTCTGCTCTTCAATGATGTCATCTCCCTCTAATCAATACTTGTTTCTCCCTCCATAACTGTGCTCTTCAATAATGTCATCTCCCTCTAATCAATACTTGTTTCTCCCTCCATAACTCTGCTCTTCAATGATGTCATCTTTTATTTCTACTATTTGTAGCCTCAGATTTTGTCTTGCATGATTTAGCATGGGCACTGTGTGCACCTAACAGAGAACCCTCTGATCCCCAACTTCTGTCTCAGCTGTTCATAAAACAACATTCAATCATCTTAGGGTAAGTGGGACAAGGAAGCCATATGTGAACCAAGCAATCCCCACCAAAGTGGACAGTGTGGCAAATACTTGTAACAATGGGGCCAGTCTGGTAGATACATACAACAATGGGACAGTCTGGGAGATACATACAACAAAAGGGACAGTGTGGCAGATATATACAACAGTGGGGACAGTGTGGCAGATACATACAACTACGGGGACAGTGTGACAGATACATACCACAATGGAGACAATATGGGAGATACTTACAACAATGGGGACAGTCTGGGAGATATATTTAATAATGGGGACATTTTAGGAGATACATACAGCCATGGTACAGTATGGGAGACGCATACAACAGGGACATTGTGGGAGATACTAGCAACAATAGAGACAGTGTGGGAGCAGTACATCAGGATATAGAAAGCAAGGAACTATTGAATACAGTAGAATGAAGATGAAACGAACAAAGCATACAGCATCACAGTAATAACAAGAATGAGACACTGATCACAAGCAGATGGTTGTGCTGGCACATCATCACCCAAGCCAGACCCACCTGGCCTGTCATTTTCTGAGTCTTTCTTCAAGTTGTACACGTCCCACTGTTCCAGAAGTTTGGAAGGAAAAGCACCTTTAACACAGGACACCCTGGTGGCAAAAAGTAAAAAAAAAAAAGGTAAAGTCGGAAGATGTGAACCAGTATCATTGCACATGGTTATAAACCATAAGTGCTCTGCAACCAGTACCTTGGTGGTAGAATCATTTCATGAAAGCACTGGTTACTTATCAAACACAACAATCTATTGCACTGGTTACTTATCAAACACAACAATCTATAGCACTGGTTACTTATCAAACACAACAATCTATAGCACTGGTTGCTAAGACAAGTCAAATATGCTGACCATATTAAACAAACAAAACATACACAAATATGCTGACCACATTAAACAAACAACACAAACACAAGTCAAAGATCCTGAAACAAGTCAAATATGCTGACTACATTAAACAAACTACACAAGTCAAATATGCTGACCACATTAAACAAACTACACAAGTCAAATATGCTGACTACATTAAACAAACTACACAAGTCAAATATGCTGACTACATTAAACAAACTACACAAGTCAAATATGCTGACCACATTAAACAAACTACACAAGTCGAATATGCTGACTACATTAAACAAACTACACAAGTCAAATATGCTGACTACATTAAACAAACAACACAAGTCAAATATGCTGACTACATTAAACAAACTACACAAGTCAAATATGCTGACCACATTAAACAAACAACACAAGTCAAATATGCTGACCACATTAAACAAACAACACAATCACAAGTCAAATATGCTGACTACATTAAACAAACAACACAATCACAAGTCAAATATGCTGACTACATTAAACAAACAACACAATCACAAGTCAAATATGCTGACTACATTAAACAAACTACACAAGTCAAATATGCTGACCACATTAAACAAACAACACAAGTCAAATATGCTGACTACATTAAACAAACAACACAATCACAAGTCAAATATGCTGACTACATTAAACAAACAACACAAGTCAAATATGCTGACTACATTAAACAAACAACACAAGTCAAATATGCTGACTACATTAAACAAACAACACAAGTCAAATATGCTGACTACATTAAACAAACAACACAAGTCAAATATGCTGACTACATTAAACAAACATCACAAGTCAAATATGCTGACTACATTAAACAAACAACACAATCACAAGTCAAATATGCTGACCACATTAAACAAACAACACAAGTCAAATATGCTGACTACATTAAACAAACAACACAATCACAAGTCAAATATGCTGACCACATTAAACAAACAACACAAGTCAAATATGCTGACTACATTAAACAAACAACACAATCACAAGTCAAATATGCTGACCACATTAAACAAACTACACAATCACAAGTCAAATATGCTGACCACATTAAACAAACAACACAATCACAAGTCAAATATGCTGACCACATTAAACAAACAACACAAGTCAAATATGCTGACTACATTAAACAAACAACACAATCACAAGTCAAATATGCTGACTACATTAAACAAACAACACAATCACAAGTCAAATATGCTGACCACATTAAACAAACAACACAATCACAAGTCAAATATGCTGACTACATTAAACAAACAACACAATCACAAGTCAAATATGCTGACTACATTAAACAAACTACACAAGTCAAATATGCTGACTACATTAAACAAACTACACAAGTCAAGTATGCTGACCACATTAAACAAACTACACAAGTCAAATATGCTGACTACATTAAACAAACTACACAAGTCAAATATGCTGACTACATTAAACAAACTACACAAGTCAAATATGCTGACTACATTAAACAAACACCACAAGTCAAATATGCTGACTACATTAAACAAACTACACAAGTCAAATATGCTGACCACATTAAACAAACTACACAAGTCAAATATGCTGACCACATTAAACAAACAACACAAGTCAAATATGCTGACCACATTAAACAAACTACACAAGTCAAATATGCTGACCACATTAAACAAACAACACAAGTCAAATATGCTGACTACATTAAACAAACTACACAAGTCAAATATGCTGACCACATTAAACAAACTACACAAGTCAAATATGCTGACCACATTAAACAAACTACACAAGTCAAATATGCTGACTACATTAAACAAACAACACAAGTCAAATATGCTGACTACATTAAACAAACTACACAAGTCAAATATGTTGACCACATTAAACAAACTACACAAGTCAAATATGCTGACTACCTTAAACAAACTACACAAGTCAAATATGCTGACTGACCACACAAGTTAAACAAACAAACTACACAAGTCAAATATGCTGACCACATTAAACAAACACACACAAGTCAAATATGTCACATTAAACAAACTACACAAGTCAAATATGCTGACCAAAACATTAAACAAACTACTACACAGTCAAATATGCTGACTACATTAAACAAAAACAACACAAGTCAAATATGCTGAACATTAAACAAACACACAAGTCAAATATGCTGACTACATTAAACAAACTACACAAGTCAAATATGCTGACCACATTAAACAAACAACACAAGTCAAATATGCTGACTACAAGTTATGCTGACATTAAACAAACAACACAAGTCAAATATGCTGACTACATTAAAAAAACTACTACACAAGTCAAATATGCTGACTACATTAAACAAACTACACAAGTCAAATATGCTGACTACATACATTAAACAAACTAAACACAAGTCAAATATGCTGACCATTACATTAAACAAACTACACAAAGTCAAATATGCTGACTACATTAAACAAACAACACAAGTCAAATATGCTGACTACATTAAACAAACTACACACAGTCAAATATGCTAACTACATTAAACAAACTACACAAGTCAAATATGCTGACTACATTAAACAAACTACACAAGTCAAATATGCTGACTACACAAACTACACAAGTCAAATATGCTGACTACATTAAACAAACTACACAAGTCAAATATGCTGACTACATTAAACAAACTACACAAGTCAAATATGCTGACTACATTAAACAAACTACACAAGTCAAATATGCTGACCACATTAAACAAACTACACAAGTCAAATATGCTGACTACATTAAACAAACTACACAAGTCAAATATGCTGACTACATTAAACAAACTACACAAGTCAAATATGCTGACTACATTAAACAAACAACACAAGTCAAATATGCTGACTACATTAAACAAACTACACAAGTCAAATATGATGACTACATTAAACAAACTACACAAGTCAAATATGCTGACTACATTAAACAAACAACACAATCACAAGTCAAATATGCTGACTACATTAAACAAACAACACAATCACAAGTCAAATATGCTGACTACATTAAACAAACAACACAAGTCAAATATGCTGACCACATTAAACAAACTACACACAAGTCAAATATGCTGACTACATTAAACAAACAACACACACAAGTCAAATATGCTGACTACATTAAACAAACAACACACAAGTCAAATATGCTGACTACATTAAACAAACAACACAAGTCAAATATGCTGACTACATTAAACAAACAACACAAGTCAAATATGCTGACTACATTAAACAAACAAAGTCACACATTAAACAAACACCAGTCAAATATGCTGACTACATTAAACAAACAACACAAAGTCAAATATGCTGACTACATTAAACAAACTACACAAGTCAAATATGCTGACCACATTAAACAAACAACACAAGTCAAATATGCTGACTACATTAAACAAAAGTCAAACACAAGTCAAATATGTCAAATGACTGACACATTAAACAAACTACACAAGTCAAATATGCTGACCACATTAAACAAACACTAAACACAAGTCAAATATGCTGACTACATTAAACAAACACACACAAGTCAAATATGCTGACTACATTAAACAAACTACACAAGTCAAATATGCTGACTACATTAAACAAACTACACAAGTCAAATATGCTGACTACATCAAATAACTACAAAACAAACTACACAAAGTCAAATATGCTGACTACATTAAACAAACTACACAAGTCAAATATGCTGACTACATTAAACAAACAAGTCAAATATGCTACACAAGTCAAATATGCTGACCACATTAACACAAACAACACAGTCAAACACAAGTCAAATATGCTGACTACATTAAAAACAACACAAGTCAAAGTCACAATTAAAAAACAAGTCAAATATGCTGATGACTACATTACAAACTAAACAAACTGACATTAAACAAACTACACAAGTCAAATATGCTGACTACATTAAACAAACAACACAAGTCAAATATGCTGACTACATTAAACAAACTACACAAGTCACAAGTCAAACTACACAAGTCAAATGCTGACCACATTAAACAAACTACACAAGTCAAATATGCTGACTACATTAAACAAACTACACAAGTCAAATATGCTGACTACATTAAACAAACTACACAAGTCAAATATGCTGACTACATTAAACAAACAACACAAGTCAAATATGCTGACCACATTAAACAAACAACACAGACACAAGTCAAATATGCTGACCACATTAATCAAACAACACAGACACAAGTCAAAGATGCTAAAACAAGTCAAATATGCTGACTACATTAAACAAACTACACAAGTCAAATATGCTGACTACATTAAACAAACTACACAAGTCAAATATGCTGACTACATTAAACAAACTACACAAGTCAAATATGCTGACTACATTAAACAAACTACACAAGTCAAATATGCTGACTACATTAAACAAACTACACAAGTCAAATATGCTGACCACATTAAACAAACTACACAAGTCAAATATGCTGACCACATTAAACAAACTACACAAGTCAAATATGCTGACCACATTAAACAAAATACACAAGTCAAATATGCTGACCACATTAAACAAACTACACAAGTCTAATATGCTGACTACATTAAACAAACTACACAAGTCAAATATGCTGACCACATTAAACAAACAAGACAAACACAAGTCAAATATGCTGACAACATTAAACAAACTACA